CGTGATCTCAACACCTATTCAGTTTCCCGTTAAATTTAGCGGGGAAAATGGCGTCACATGACTTCGCGTTACGTCATCCATGAACAAATTCAGTTTCTCCGCTAGATATAGCGGGAAAATTGACGTCACGTGACATCAACACCAATTCAATTCCCGCTAAAATTGTCGGGGCGGTTACGCCGACGCCGACGCCGACGGCAACGGCGACGTTGCTCAACACGGATACAGGCGCCTAAGAGCTGCGCTCTAAAAAGTGACGCCGTTGGAAGGAATGGGTTCACTCTTTGGGCTGTAGACTTTGTTCCCAGCTGATTACAAGCAGTTTCGTGGCGTAAAACGAATGCTTTGGAAGCTCGTTCCGGCACCCGCGCAGCAGCACAAAACAAATGCTCTGCATAGTCCATTTTTTAGGCTGCCCGCTCGACCTGCAAGCCTGCCTCACCCTGACGTACTGAAAAGCGCGGGTATATTTGAATGTTGGTTTTTCGCAGCATTTTCACTAGCCGATTTCATAATAACTGTTGTTAATTTCGCGATACTAAACAGCATACCGGAAAGGGCAAAGGTCGGAGATTCGGAAAATATAGTTAGCTGGGGCAGCTAAAAAAATCGCCGAATAAACTTCGGCCGACCAAGTCCGGTGGCCATTTTAATTTTGACTAATATATATATATATATATATATATATATATATATATATATATATATATATATATATATATATATATATATATATATATGGCACTTGTTTGGCGAATTAGGGCCAAGATACCCAGACTGTTGCCAAGGGAGGTCAGGTTTGGCACTACTTTGGCTTCTTCGGGCATTTTAATGCCCTAAACTGCCAGACGCAAGCCAAATTTTGGCCCAGAACTCGGTGCTGCCTGGGTATATATATATATATATATATATATATATATATATATATATATATATATATATATATATATATATATATATTTTTTTTTTTTTTTTTTTGTTGGTCCAATGCCCATACAAAGAAAAAAATGTTTTTGTTTAGCAGGAAAAAAAAAAAAAGAAAGTGTATTTGCGGGAAAATGTTAGCACACCCTTGGTCCGAAGCGCTTTCTGCGGATTGCTTGAGGTTGGCATTTCGGGCACCTCCCCCAAAACAATCGCTCCGTCTACGGATCTAAAGATATTTACTGACAAAATACACAGGAAGGATTAATCCCAAGTATTTACTACGGAGTAACAACGTCATTAGATCGTAAAAGAAGAGCAAACATGACACATCGCGTAATAAATGGTGTCTGTGTGTGTGTTTGTTTTCACGCATATAAACGCTAGAATTTTTAATCTTTGCCACGTGTCGCTCTGCATATTTTTAATCTTTGAGCTAAATGTTGTTGTCCTGGTTAGCGGGACAAATTTACGAAAAATGCACAAATGGGCCATTTGACTAAATACGGATTATTTTGAAAATCAATTCAAAAAATGACATCTTTAATGTTTCTTTTTAAACCTTTCTAATTAAAGTCTAATGATATGTACTAACGGAATCTGCGAAAACATGTTGCGTTACTTTTGTGTCTGTGAAGTTATAAAGCGAGAATTCTGGCCGAATTGAGGCTATTGCAGTGCCGTCTACATACTTATAATTGATAGGCTCATTATTAATGCGAAAGCATTAACTGCCCCATGGAGCGAAGCCGGCGGTGTCTGCTTTTCTGCCGGCGTGCCATTCGCGGTGTCTGCCGGCGGTGCCATTCGCATAAATTTATTTGTAATAAATAAACAATAGCAACTTCTGCATAACAACTGTAAAGACTCCAGTGGCAATCAGTTCATCAAACGAAGTTTCATCGACAGCTCAGATTAACTTTTTTCTGTAATATATGCTGCATGAGACTCGCCGCGAAGCGGCGTGTACGGGTCGGTCAGGTTAAAGTTCCTGCATCGTACGGGAACCAGAGTTCTGCGTTCATTCCCGTAGCGCCGTCTTTCCTACACGGCATGTTGAGCCTGCTTTTCACGTGTCTGAATTCGGCGAATAGCGGCCCCGCGCGTTTGAGGCGCGCGGCGCGCTCAAAAGCAGAGGAACGTACGCCGGGGCGCGCGCAACGTCTACTTTCCTGCACGTCATTTGAGTGTGCTCCTCATGTGATCGGATCTCGGCGAATAGCGGCACGGCCGCACGTGGAAAACAGACGCGCAAAAACTCTAGGTCAGGCTGGTTAACATTTTTGTAATGAGGTGCCGCAGACTGTCGCCGCGAAGCAGCGTGAACTATAGAGTTCCTGTATATAGCTACACCCCTTTGGGGGAGCACATACAGAAACTCTAGCGTGAACCAAAAAGGGCGTGTCGCCATCTTTGAACACGCTTTTAACCAGAAAATAAGTTACGCACGATTGTAATTTTGGGTTTATTGGGATGCTTAGGGCGTCTATATTGAGTTGTCACCACAAAAGGACGATCTCAGAATCGACTTCAGGGGATACTTCGACGAAATTTGAAATATACCCGTCGTACGTATTCAAAAATAGGTTGAATATGATGCACAATATCCGTAAATGAAAATCGCACGTTTGTATTTTGAGCCTGGTGGCTGTATTTTTCGTTATAAACGGCCCACTCTGGCAAGCGCTCGGAGAGCAGCCAGCGGAGAGAACGTGAGATCCGACGCAATCGTGACGTAGTTCGTCTCGGGAGGAGCAAAGCTGTGGCGAGGCTGACGTGGAAAGGATGTCCAAGTCGTTCCAGTCATCGAAGCGGCTGCTTGTGCACGAATTTTGAGTGACAGGTTAATCTTCTATGATCTTGTAGAGGGACAATTGACCCCGTGACTACATCACAACATGGCCGGCGTATGGGTCCAAACAAACCGTTGCTAGGGACGTTGCTATGGACTAATGCATGGAGACTCCACATGATGCTAGATATTTGCTTACAAGTACATAAATAATTTTTTGTAAGCAACCTAACTGCTTGATGTCTAATTATGAAGATGTTCTTATCGTCTCAGTGTCGTATTCCAACGATGAAAGCCATTTCTGAAGTATTACACTCTGCCTCGCTTTGGTAGCAGACGACACGATAGATTTGCTGGCCTCTGTTGCAGCGAGCGTCTTCATTGAATTGCGTCGGTAAACGAGTGACAAAAACAAATGCATCGCCATGGCCGTAGAAGCCTTCGCAATGTGCGTTTTTGTTTTTTCGTTTTTTTTCCTGTACTAAATACTAAAATAAAAAGCAAGTCCGAACAGGAGAACGTATGAAAGCACAATCAGAAAACATCACCGAAGGTAGATATATAAGCATTACAACGCTAGTAGCACACTTCGTCCTGTAAACGTCTTTAGGATGTCCTAATGTCCCAGGGATGGCCTGCGGACATTCACAGGATATTTGTGCTGCTTGGGAAAATAACCGGGTAGCGCATGGACAGGCATACGATTTTTCACTCACTACTACTTGCATGCAACTACTTTATCAATATTATAGTAATAATATATAAGTATAGCTCCATATTTTAAGACATTATGAGCGAACAGAATATGGGTTTTACGTGCTCTCGGTTGCTTTGGCTCTTTTTTACATCAAGGCAACTGTCCGCCAGTGCTACATGTACTAACCTTATCTTTTTTATCCAGTTCTTTCGCGATTTGGGGTTTCGCGGAAATCTGAAGACACTGCAAGAATCTTCTTCCACGCGATGGTTACAACCAGGTACAAAGCACCCTCCCATAGCGCGAGTCCGCAAACAAAATTTGGGATCTCAACCGATCACCTGAAGTGCTTTTCCCACAGGTGCAATGCGATCTTTAGCAGACGATCGTCTCGATCGACGCCCGGACTTTCGATAAACGATATTTTGCATCGCACCCCACTATGAATTCTGTCTGAAACTCATATTTCAAACAAATGCAATATCAGAATATCGTCTTCATCCGCACGTACGATTCAAACGACAGCAGACGGCATACTTCTTGCATTCGTCGTCTGCTGCAGGCATCTTGAGGACCGGAAATTGCAGTCGTAAATATCTCAGAAGCAAGCGATTACCGGCACACTTCTGTCGAAACATATATGACAGTCAAGCTTTCTATATCTGTGATTTTTAGAAGTTTAAATCCTATTCCTGATTTTGAACGGTCGGGTTTTCGCAGCGAATCCTAGCCACATGCATTTGCCCATAACAACGACCCTAGCAACGGTTTGTTTGGACCCGTGACGTCACAGATTCTCGGGGAGAAGGGAGTTCCTCCTTCCCCCTTCTCTTGTGGTGGCCGGAGGCGAGACAGTTAACGTCACTACCCGTCAAGGTTCCTATAGGCTCCTTGCACATGACGTCATTTCCGATACCCTCCAGAGAAGAGGGGGAGAAGGAGCTCCCCTCTTATCAGGACCCTCCTTTGTGCCTTCCGGATTTGCACAGGCGTCGCTATTCTCCTCCCAGAAGATTATAGAAGATTAACCCGTCACTCAAAATTCTTACAAAAGCAGCTTCCCTCTCCTCCTTTTACTTGGTGTGCAAATGTGTCCGATGTGACGTCAATGCAAGGAGCCTATTCACATACTTGGGAAAGAATCTCTAGACTCAAGAAAACTGCACAAAACTTAAAGCAAACCTGAAATAATACAGCACAATGTATGGCCAAGCAATTTGCAAATGTCTTGCAATATTTTATTTTCTAAGGTGTTTTTTTTTCTTCTTTTTCTGGAAGTCTTATGAAAATATAGCGAGAAAGTAACTTCACAATTGGCGTGATAAGGATGAAAATCTAAATTCCCGAAAAAGTCTATTGCAGCTCAATGTAAATGAAAACAAAGAATGAAACTGAAAACCTCCCTGTAACTCAGGAAATGAAGAAACTGTCCAGTTTACCAGAAGCAGTCTCCACATTAAATTTAAGATCTTCAATAGAAGATGATTGCGATAATACAGGGCTTGATAGCACAAGAACAACGAAAACCATATACTACACTAATACCCAGGTAGAAATGGCCTAGAGGAATTCAGACAAGCACAATGCTTAATTAACAAACATTTAGCCTTTATCCAACAATGTACATATCAACTAAATTCAACATAATTCAAATTACAAGACATTTAGCCAATTATTATGAGCTAAATGGTAGTGAACTGCTTTTAATTCCTTCTGATGCTGCAAGCAACTACTAAAACTTCTAAGCACTTCTAGGGAAAACTGTGCTCTCAATAATAGGTAATGTGAAAGACACTTCAAAACCTAGCTCAGTGTGACCACACTGTGCCAACCTTACAGTTGCATGCATATTTTGCCCAAAAGCAGACAGGGGCAGATGCAGGAATTTCGTGAGAGGGGGGGGGGGGGGGGGGGGGGGTGGTTAGGTGTTGGTCAGCGTACCATATGTTTAGGAACCCCCTCCTGCTCTCCTTCGTTTTACGCCTTAAATTTTACACATGCAAAATCAAGAGGGGGGTCAGGACATCCGGACACCCCCTCTAAATCTGCCCCTGAAAGCAGATCCATTTTAAATGTTCAAATGTGTTTTAGTGCCTAACATTCTTTAGAAAAAGAATGTTCTGCGTGCATAACCATAGGAAATAATAAGCAATACTGGATGACAGTACCAAAGGCAAGTTGCACTCCTGCGGCAGTTAAAACCTTTGCAGCTCACAAGTCGCAACAAGAATATTCACTCGGCCTGTCTTTTGACACCGACTGTGTGAGGGTTAACATAAAAAACAAGTGTAAAGGAATACATGGTTTGCACGCGACGTCAGTGCACCCCTTTCTGGTGGCCAGAAGCGTCTCGTTGATGCGGCGGAAGCTACCCTCTCACGTGCCTTTTCCCCCATTATGTCTGAACAAGTGACGTCAGTGCAAACTATGTACACGAAGAGCAGACATGCTACAGATTTGGAACCGAGTGTGCACTTCCAGCCCCCACTCAAGCACCTAAAAACTTGCCCATAAAAAAACAAAAAACATGCCCACAAAGAAGCACGTCTGACGGTAGAGCTCAAACTCTTGCGGCACCAATCGAGCTCAGACTCTTTTGTGCAGTCCAGGTCCCATAGCACCGGAGTGCCTAGGCAACAAGCCACTATTCTAAAGATGCACAAGTTGCCGCCTTAAGTTACATCTCACACCACTGCCTTTTGCTCACACTTAGAACCAAGCTCTAATGCACATATATTACATGGCAAAGTAACAGATTGTACACCACACTAAGGGTTCTTATTTTCCTGCTGCTTTTCCAGAGGTGGCTGGCTCTGGGTGTGTGCCTCCTCAACGCTGCTGGATGCTTGTGCTTGCTTTTCATGGTTTTGCTGCTCCTTTGTTTGGGCATGAAGAAACTCTTCCTTGAGGAGAAGTTCAATGATTTCCTTCATCTGGGCAGGGTTCACTTTGACATTTTCACGACCTAGAGTGTCAATCACCTGCCAGAAAGAGAATGTTTTGAGTTATAACTACAAAACTTGCGTTGAAAACAAAATAAGGTGCAGAAACCCCTTTTCTTTTTTGCTCACGGCACTCCAACATTTCATTCATGGTTTCAAGAGAAAAGCTACAAACATTGGCACTGAAGAAGAGTACATACACTGTGTGACACACATGGTTCAACTGACTGGTTCATCCCCCAAAAAACTGTGGATGTCTAACACATACAAGAATAAAATATCTGTTTTAATAATATGGCATGCAAATTAAAAAATGCAACAATAAAAATTAATTGATTTAAAAGAAGTCATTCAAAACTTTGCTTCTTTCTGCTACTGTAGTGGTTCCCAAACAATGGTGCCTAGCCCCCCTATTCGCCCTGTACACCATAAAAATCAAGTTGAGAATAAATATTTGGGTACACATAGTTGATTAAGTACTGTAATGCTAAATCAACAATGTCTAAACTACATCATCATCAATATTACACGTGGCATGCAGACCATGGCACGAGCCACTCTGCTTTCTGCACTGATGATATTTCTTCAGTGTTGGGAGGAACTCCCAAGACTGAAGCAATATTATCAGTACTGTTTTCATTAACTCCTCTAATAAATAGGTTCAGATGATGACTAAAACGATTTTCCTTATCAGCCAGACATTCCATTTTCATGTACCAGGTAGAAGAATGTTAAAGAAAAAGACTAATGCCCGTGCCACACACGGGCAACTCGAATGCCATTTACAACGAATGACATTTGTGTGATCGGCGAATCAGCTTGCAATCTGTTGCGCGTGGAAGGCGCCACGCCTGGAGTGTCGTGCGCTGATTCGCCGTCCGCTCAAATGTCATTCGTCGTAAATGGCATTCGAGTTGCCTGTGTGGCGCGGGCATTAGTCTTCATTAGAAAATGAGTTCTATATTGCTATTGCTTGTCGATGGCAAGTGTTTACATTAAAGTTCAATCGTGTGATTATGTTTGTCGCCCCCTCCCCCTCCCTTCCCTCTCCTCCCCCCCCCCCCCCCAAAAAAAAAGGGATCTGGGGAAGGAACATACAATCCCATCCTGCAATCGCTCTGACATATATCCCAACATAAAAACATCAGAAGGCAAAACCTGCAAAGACTTACTAAGAAAGCATGGACTATGACATGCTTATTACTAAACATACATTCGCTCACTAGTCATTGAGTGACATTTTTGGCTACATATTGATGCAAGTAATGATAGTATATAATAACTTTATTTATGAAATTTGTAGATGTCCGACACATGCAAAAAGATTATGCTTTGTACGAATCACAAGTAACGGTTACTCTTTACCCTCGCAATTCAAATCACGGGTGTAACAGCAAGCTTTGAAAGGCTACCATGTTCAGGCAAATGACATATTGCATCTATTTAACCCTCTAAGTGCTACGCCTGAGTATACTCGGGCACGCTACCATGCAGGTTTAAGTTTCGATTTGCTCTCTACCTCCCCCAACCGGGCTGCTGATTTTACTTTTACGCACAGAGCAGTGTTTTGACTCGTAATAACACACGTTGATGGCATGTGGAATGTTTTGTTCAGGGGAAGCCTGTGTGGTTTGCCTCTACGTAGTCCCAGAAAGGCGAATGCCGTTCAACCTCATGCTTTATGGCGAACACAGAAAACTAGACATGAATACTAAACTAATTTAGACATAAACTGAATAAGAAAGTCCCAGTTCCGAATAAAAAAATGTTGGTTAAGGCCACTTGAAAAGAGTGGCCCCAGGGTGCAAGGCCATGGTGCCACTGTGCATAGTACTGCGTCCTTAAAAGTATAATTTGAGAAAAATATCTTGTTGGAGGCATGCGAACATCAATTAACTTTGATCCCATAGATCCGTGTGTCTTCGATAAAAAAAAGTACTTCATAAAAGATGTTACAGTTTTTCTGCATAGGACCAAACTTTGTGCTCGACATGCGGGAAAAAAACCTGGCACTCAAAGGGTTAATGATGATGCCTGTCACTTCTCCTATTAAACATGTTAATGGAAACACACATATGACACACTTCTGAAAAAAGCTGCAATAAAAAATTGCTGACTGACACAAGTCCTGAACAATGCTTTGTTTCCTTGTTAAGAAATTATGCTTCAATGTACAACAGTTCTACAAGTGGACACATCCCATGCTTACTGCTCTCAGGATAGAATGACTAAGAGAAGTTACATTGATGGTCCATATGAGCAAAGATGCACAAATCCAGGTGGCCAAGATAACTCTTTTAAAAAAAATTTTGATACTTTTGTATTTAGACAAGATAGGCAGCCCACAAACTTGTACGAAAGATTAAAGCATTTTTAAAATTATTCCCTCCATGTGCTTGCAAAATCAATTAAGCACATGTAGTGCATGCAAGTTCAATTCGACACTCTTCTGCTCATTGGTGGAATGGTAAGCAAAACAAAATTGAGATTTTCTCCAGTAGAGCATACCTTTAGCACGTGATCAATCTTCACTGCACCATCATTGTCAATGTCAAGCGTGTCCAAGATTTCGGTGATCATTTCGAGACGAGTGTCATTTGATGATTTTTGAATTCTTCTTATTGCTAGCACTAGGTCGTTGATCTCAATCAGGTTATCTCTGTAAAAGAAAATGCTCGATGCAATTATGCCATTTAAAAAGTTTGGAAAAAAACCAGCAAGCAGAAGTCTAATCACATCCACAGTACATGACTTCTGGTTATTTTATTACATCTTTCTGGAGGTTGAGTTGTGAGAAATTGGCTGCCCGTATCTGTGTCATATATTACATCAGATTTGAGGCCGATTAACAACAGGAAAGCAAAAGCGTCTTTCGAGTTGTTGACACTGTAGCCGATGCTGCAGTAAAGCTGCCTTATAAAAAAAAAAAAGTACAATATACAAGGTGTTTGTTTTAGTGGGTCCAGAATTTTTGAAACATTGACACTTTTGCTGGGATTCTTGAAGCCCCAAGGCCAAGTTGGTGGCCATGGGAGCCACTAGAAAAGAGGAAAAATAGATTAATTGGCTAATTAACAAAAAAAGATTCAATTAACCTTCTAAATTGATATTTTTTGAGGCATAATATAGCTGGAAAATTGATGCTCGACATCATTACGATCTAGTCACGATGCAAAATTTGGATTAAAAAATTCGTAGTGGGCGCTACGGGGTGAGAAATGCCAGCCTCGTAGAGTCATAAGATACATAGGACGGAACAACTTGTCAAGCTTATTGGAGCACCTGCCCGTCATTAAAGGGGCACTGACACATCAAAATCATATTTTTTTTATTATCTGAAACGATTGAAAACGATGCCGGGACATTAACCTCAAAATTTGAAATTCAGTATTTGTGAAGTAAAAAAACAATTTCCAAATGCCGAATTTGAAGTTCCCCCGCGATCCGCGCCGGTGCGTTGACGTCAAATATTGTGGAGTCCTGAGAGTCCACTTTCTTTCACGACTACCTGCTGTTGCCATGGCGACCCAAAGCGAGGAGGAAAGGAGCGAGCGCCGGCGTTGCGACGGACCGGTTTTGAGCGGTGTCGCCTGTTTTCCGTGGGAGGATACAAATCTAGGAGACGGCACCACAACAAACTCCCGATTTTTGGTATTTCAAAAAGAAGGGCCGTAGTGCGTTCGCAATTGCGTTAAAAAACATGTTTTAGGATTGCCGTTATTAAATGTTAGAGAGATGTCACCTACAAAGCTTCTAAATTTCATGATTCTTGACGTCACGAATCAAAAGAGGCGAGGTGGTGAGAGGCGGGAGAATTAAACACCAAAAATAAAAAGGTGCACGCGCACGCGCGGGAAAATTTGTTTTCGCAATGTGTTTTTTTTTGCGTGTCTATGACTGCAACTTGCATCGTTTTAGACAATAAAAAAATACGACCTTTGGGGTGTCAGTGCCCCTTTAAGGACGTTCTGACGAAAACTAAGCCTGGAACTTCACTCTTCGGGAAATTGAGAGATTATGGGGGTTGTTAAGACTGCAGTTATAGAAAAAGGCAAATGGAGTGTTCCTGCTCATGTTTTTCATGACTGTACAAGGAGTCGCGTAAAAAAGTCTAATAAACGGAAAGAAGCTGGCAAACAGGTAGTCATGGCACATGCCACTTAGTTCCCCAGGGGGGGATCGAGGGGCCACATCACAGAGGAGATGGGCCTGGCTCACTCCAGCCTTGGGGCTCAAAAGGTGCTGGACACGTGCACTGGACATGCCACATTGTTTCCCCGGGCTGGAGTGACAAGGAAAGGTACTCGTCCGCTAGAGCGAGGCAGTCTTGATCCGAGGGAGAAGCAGGCCGGTAGCCTGATTGACCTCCCACCAGGGGAATGTTCCTCAATGTAATGCTGGAGTCGGACACAGTTTGTGACGGATGGGTCCATTACAATGGCTTCAAACCTAAACTAAATGACCAAAGAATGCCTGCGACGTCAAACACACTATATACGCTGGCTCCGCAACCCACATCTCTGCACCGCAGCGACATCAGCAGTGTGACGCCACCAAAAGAGCTCGGCAGGCGCTTCTTGCCCGCTTAGTTTTGGTTTAAAGCAGTGTACAAGGATAACATTTCTCGTTCCGTAGCGCCCACTACAGATCTTTTAATCAAAATTTGACGTCTCAACTAGATCGTAATAACGCCAAGTGTGAATTCTCCAACTACATTATCAGTGATGGAAGCGGCATTTGACTTTTTGTTGCAGGTTTTGTAGCAAGCAACGTGTTGGTTTGGTTCCATCCGTAAATTAGCCAATCTTTGATAATAATTGAGGGTTCATCTTGAATATTGAAGTACGAGGCACAGTCAAAAAGTTACTGCAATATATCATTTATCTCCATAATAACAAAAAGAATTAAAATCAATTTCCCGCTTTACAACATAGTCCCCTCTGCATTCAACACGTGCTGCGCCAACGCGTGAATGCCGCCGAAGAAAACGCCTTGCTGCTGGTGACTCCGAAGCCGGGGGATGCATCACCGCTTTCAGCTCATCTCCTGTACGAAACTTTACTCTGCCAAAAACTGCTTCAAATGGTAAAAAAAAAAAAATTTAATCGCATGGCACCAGGCTTTTTGAGTATGGCAGATGCGGAACGCACTGGAAACGTAGACCCCCATTTTTCTTTCCACTGCCGCACAAGCCGTGTGGGGGAGCACACTGTTGTGCTGCAGCAACACACCAAATGTCAGGAAACCATGGCACTTCGACCTGACAACAGACTTCAAGGTGTTCTCAAGCAGGTCACAATATGACATACTGTTGACACTGAATCCCCTGGGGATGCAATGTTTGGGTACTAGTCTTTTATAGTCCCAGGATGTCGTGAGCATCACCTTGGCCTGCGTCGCAATTGCCCTGGGGGGCTATGTTGCGCTTTTTGCACACCCAGGAGACTAGGGAGAAGGAAGTGACGTCAACAACGCAGCAAATGCAGACTGGATGTTGATTTTGTTTTCTTTTGTCAACATCCAATCTGCGTTTGCTCTAGTCGTTGACGTCACTTCCTTCTTCCAAGTCTACTGGGAGTGCAAAAAGCGCAACATAGCACCCCTGAACTTCTTTGGCATTGGTGGCAGTCTATGGTGAGATTTCAACTTTCTATAACTAAATTCCTGTTACTTTTGACTCTGCCCTGAATATTGCTTATTACCTTTTGTGATTATAATACATATAATGCATATATATGTATTATATATATACATATATATAATACATATCCTTTATGTGGTCAGCTTATTAGTGTAAATCTGAAGTGACATCAGTCATGAAGACCACCCATGTAGATCGCCATTCAATAGTTACAGCTCCTCGATTGCAATTACTTACTTAGTCACTTCACTGGCAGTTCCTTCTGTAGAGTCAATCTCAATCTGCATGGACTTGCGCTCCTCATTGAGCTTGTCAATCAGGTGGTCCATGTTGCCAATGATGCGGTTCACTCTGTTGTACAAGCGTGTGGCTGCCTTGGACTCCTGGATGTCTCGTGTTCCTGTCTTGACCACCACATCTTTCAGTTCATCCACATCCTGCACAAGAACACAAGTCCAAACTTTTAGACCATGTCAGGTCAAGCCCTGGCCATACAATTTAAAGCATGCTTCTGTTTTAAATGTATTTAAAGGGATACTGAAATAAAATTTCAAACTCAGAAAACTGGGCTGGAGCAATAGGAAAGACGCTGCAGAACCCAAAAAACACCACTCATACAGCAATATCTCTAATAGATAGGAGTATTTTTGGAAAAGAAATGCACGAGTGAACACGGCCGACGAGATAGGTGACGTCACGATTCTCATTCCCTCTCCTCCTCGCTTTGTTTCGTCAAGTTGGCTCATTCAACTGTTGCAGGAGGATTGTGACATCAGAGTCCTCCCTTGATTGCACCCTTTTTTTAAAAAAATACAACCATCCATTTGAGATATTAATGTATGAGTGATGTCTGGGAGTCCGTAGAGTCCCGTTCAATGCTTGTGCCGCCTTATTTTGCAAAATCCAAATTTTGATTCAGTATCTTTTTAAAGGTGTCACAAGTACTAGTTCTAGAGTTCTAACCAGAGTATGATAAAATTATAACTTCCCAAACCTATAAAAACTAGTGTACAAAAAGAAAAGAGGAAGCCCCTGCTCCTCTCGTCTTCCATGTTTTCCTTAAACACTTCCTACAAGTGCACGGAGAGCACCCTAGAGAGATCCTTCCTAATCCTTGTTAGACCCAATATAGTCCAACTCAAACCAAGCAGCAAGACTGGTCAGCTTAAATAGGTGAGGCCAAGGACCATATACCCTTTGCACACCTATTTGCTTCACTGGGAGTTTCGTGGTGCACTTTTCGGAAGCTCAGCATCAACGGGAGACACTATGAAGCAGTGTTGCCAATTCAAAAACCCGCAATTGGAACCCAGAAAAACCACAAATTTTTGGCACAGGGAAAGGATGACTTTTTAATACAATTCATAGCTATAATTTGTTTAAAACCATTATAAAAAGGCTCGAGGTACACCAAAGCACTTCTTATGAGTTGTGAATGTGAAAGCATGCACGTCATTCTTCCGCTTCCTTATTTTGTCTGCAGCGTATTTGCGTCGCATGCAGAGCGTGCCCTCTCCTCGCCGCTCTGACCTTGGACGTTTGGTGCTACTGGCGCGCTGACGGACACGCAAAACCAAAGGGTGGCGGTCGTTGAAACTGACGCGCACCAGCCAAAGGGAGCCTCGTCGACGCGCGCCAGCCAATGGAATTGAAGCCGAAATCCATCAGCTTTGCTACGCTCTTTTGGAATCGGGGAAACTAAGTGCTGTTTGGCTAGGCTTTTCGCGTGGTTTCATAGCTGGGAGCTGGCTTCACTTGGAAAAAGGATTTAAGGTGCTGTTTGGCGTGGTTTCAAGGCTGATGGAGTCGGCTCGCTCCATGGGACAGATAATGCTTTTGCATTAATAAATATAGAAGCCTTAGAAGAGAGAGGGAGCTTTCCTGTCTGACTCTGACTCCCTCCATACACAGAACGATGCCTGGTGCCTCATCTTACTGTTATCAGGTGTGCTGTCTTGTCATACCTGTTGACCTACACCTTAATCATTTAATCTTTAGCACAATATTCGGTGGCTTCAGTGACCAAACTCAAATGCTTTGTCAAAAATTCTATTATCTAGTAGAGGTATCCGACACCACCTGATGTCGTTTAAAACTTCCGGTAACCAGTCTCAAAGTTTAGAATCCAATTGGGAGTGTGCAACACCTAAAGGGGTCGCGCTGCTCCACCTTGGCGGCTGGTTGGGAGCGCCACCAATGACAGCGTCCGCAATACGTTGCATAGTACCGTATTTGCTCAAGTGATAGCTGCACTGTTTATGAACAAAGCCTGCGGATCTGCTTTCCCGCGGAGCACGGGGATAGCAAATCACTGCGATCGGCAAAAAAACTGGCAGCGATTTACGGGACAGAGATAACGTCTTCACGCGAAAATGCTATCTGCTCAGATCACACTTTTATGGAGAATCGTAGGGTTGTGCGAATATTCGAAATTTCGAATGGTAGTTCCGAATAATACACTATTCGATATTCGCTTCGAAAAGAACTGCACTATTCGCGTTTTTCGAAGTATTGATTACGGCGGGATAGCCCCGTTGAGTGCGCTTCTTACCAAGCACCAGTGCGCCGCAGAGAAGCAAAACTCGCGGATGTGAGCTCCGCGGGTGTTGCTTCTCCGCATTACATCGGTGCTCGCTAAGAAGCGCACTTAACGGGTGAACCCACCGCGATAAACAATATCGTAATTGCGTGCTCAAGAAATACATACATCCAAAGTGGGATAGTGCACCCGTGCCGACTGTATTTGAAAATAGATGGAAACTTTGTGAATGTGTACATCTACATTGCAGTAAAAGTTTCAAAATTAAACTTTTATGGAAGTGTATACTATGTTAGGCAGAGATGCTTTTACAACCTGTGTTCATCATGCGCGACTCTTTTTTTTTAACTTGATATTAAAGAAAGAATATTTTGTATACCAAGATTTGTAAATTCACTCAATTTAGTTGGCCATCTATATAGGATTCATTTTATGTCAGATCCGCCGTTTACTTGCCATCCCAAGACACCAGACCTTCTGAGATCACAGTTCATAAATATCGATAGATTAAGCTTAGCTTATGAGTGAAAAAGTGGAATAACCTTTACAGGTTTAGCTGGGGTTTCGTCTAAGCACTATGCAATGGTAGTGAGAGGCGTGGAAAAACTATTCGATATTCGAATCGAAAATATTCGGCCAAAACCACTATTCGCTTCGAATTCGCTTCGGACTCAAAATCCACTATTCGCACAAGACTAGAGAATCGCATTCTCGACCTCATGATTCGCTGCATTTTTTATGCAGCACACAACGACTGGCTGTATGTGTATTCTGCAGGAAAGTAGATGCAAGGGCCTTGTTCGTAAGAAGTGCGGCCATTACTCGAGCCAATATAATCAATCGCTGCCTGCTTCGACCTCTTCTAATGAGCCTGCAGCGTCTCGGCTATGCCTGCTTCCCCCGCAGTCGTGTTTGTCTATCTTTCACCACAGTAAAGGTTTCACACTTTCACATTAGAAAACCTAGCCGTGTCCAGCGTTGCTCTGTATGTGTTCCCGCATCAATCGACCTGCAGCAGTTGCTCAGAGCTCGGGTATAATCATGTCCCACACAGTTGTAAGTAGCAACGCACACCACCATGTGTTTTATTTATCTGTGCTGGAATATGCCCCTACGAGAAAGTTGAATGTTTGGTGGCCCGGAAGTCACTATGGGACATTCTGCAGTGTGACTAGGTGATTAAATCTACGTAAGAAGTATTTTTCGCTCCTTTTATAATCGGATTGCATATCGCTCGCAGGCAAATCGAGTGGACGTAGTGGGATTAGGTGATCGCGGCTGTTTGCACCAGCGAATTGAGAGGATCTGTGTTCTCAATATCGGGGTTACGTGTAAAAAAAAACTTTGGCGCCAACTGTGACTGTGAACGTTTTCTAGAGCACTGCGCTCAGGTAAGCTGACACCGATAGGTCAGCAGCTATGCGCAATGTCTACGAAAAAATGCCTTTGCTAGGAGCCGCACTGACGCGCTACTGTCTTGTCACACACTTCCAATAGCTCCTCTTTTTTTTCTGAATTCTTGTGCATAGTTTACTTGGCCCATTTCATCCAGTACCTTCAAATAATGCACCGATGCATCATGCACAAATTACTTCACAGCATGTTTAAATGCTTTCCACTATAATATCTCGATGGCATCGCAAGCGTTATTACCACTGACAACAATTCTGTTGAGAGTAAGCAAAGATGATGATCTCGTCAGCCTAACTTACCACAGGAGTTAAGCTAATTGGGGTTTATAAATGTATGCTGGAGAAATTTTAGAATTCCAGCAAAAATGCAAAAGGAGTCGTCGAGGAACGTTAATAAATCTTCAAGCTGCAAGTTGGAAAGATATTTTTTCCTGTCCCCGTCTTTTTAGGGGCGAAGCTCCTTAGGGTCTAGCCTTGTCCGGCGTCCGTGCTCACATCAATCGCACCGCCTCCAAGATTGGCCCACTTTAAAAAAAAACAAAAAACATATGCCCGCAAGGGGGTTCAAACTCAGGACCACTTGCTTACGAGGCAGACGTCTTAACCACTACGCTACGCTCCAACGTTGCATGTAGCCGCTTAACGTCTATACAGGAGAGGGCGCTGCGGTCAAATGCATATATAATCGCATTAAACATTGCATGCATTAGCTCAACGTTTATAGACGAGAGGGCGCTGCGTTCAAATGCTCAACTGCGTATATAACCACGATCCATACCACACATTCTCTTTCTGACATGGACCGTTGACTTTAGCGGTGGAGATGCGTTCCCACGATTTCTAGCGGATCGAAGCTGATCCTCTAAAAGAACCACTGGCTCTGCATTTCACCGACCATAAAGTAGTAATAATGAAGTCGAAACGCAACCCAGAACTCAGCATTACCTATGAGCAATAAAAAAAAATCAGCACCATCAGCACTACTTATGAAAAATAATATCTGTATCATCAGCACCACCAGAGCTTCGCCCCAATCAACATCATTCACCACGTGGAGATGTGTCCATTTTTGCCATTCATGTTGCTTTCCTTTATCCCTGTAACTTTACAACCACGCTCTAATTTGTCAAGTCATGACTTGAAAATGCAGTCACCTGCAAAACAATAATTTCTTCGAAAGAAAAAGAATTAAAAGTACAGCCCTACGGTTATGGATTTGGCAACAATGGAAGTGACTATCTAAACTGGACTTTTTTAAGCCAACATTCTTGCCAATTATAATTTGTTCTCAGTACTGAAAAGTCAGCTTTTGTAGCTTTTATAGAAGGACAATGAATTAACCAAATAAAATGTACCAATTTAAGCAATTTCCAAATGCACTAAATAATAGCCAGCCATCCAAATATTTGGAATTTGTCTGAATTAGTAGCTGAAAGTCTGAATTTCAAAAGTGGAGTCTGCCAAAAGTTCCTTATGTTTGCTTGCTCTTCACCATTTGGCAAGACATGGCCATAAGAAAGCTCCTGTCTCACGTGTAAAATATTAATACATAAACAGATCTTTCAAATCACTGGTGACTGGAGATCTTTGCCAGACACATTGTGTTACTACACAAAGAATTCTTTGCAGTTAGAAAGATTGTTTTTGTGCTTAAATGCCAAGATTAGAGCGGCTTCGAAACTATTTGTTGTTTTGCACTGTTCTTCATCAGGATGACTGCCAGTGCTTAAAGCTGTAGAAAAAGCCGTAGAAGTGTCAGTTTAATGTTATCGAAGAAGCACAAAGAAAGCCCCCTTCCCCCCCTTTTTCCAGGGGCCTCTACCTGTGTTCTTGCGAAGAGAGACCCCACCCCCAGACTGGAGGGAGACCAAGCCCTGGCCTGGCCCTTGCTCTGTTGTACCTTTTCCTTTTATCCCTCCAGATTATGCAGTCTCATGAATAATTTTGTAAATAAGGAAATAATAAATAGTGTTGTGTGAATATACGAAATGTCAAATAGTAGATACGAATAATACACTATTCAATATTTGCTTCGAGACAAATTGCGATATTTATATATTAAGTGTTGATCGCAGCAAATTAGCCCCGTTGAGCACACTTCTTACAGAGCATGGGTGCATTGCAGCGAAACAGTACTTGCGTAAGTGAGCTCTGTAGAGGTTGCTTCTCTGCAGTGCACTGGTGCTTGGTAAGAAGCACACTCAACGGGGTAGACCTTCACAATCAACACTTGAAAACTATGAACATTGCAATTGCGTGCATAGGAGAAAAGCACACTTTCAAAGCCAGATGGTGCATGCGCGCACCTGGCATATTTAAAAAGAAATAGAAACTTTGTGAATGTTGATACCCACATTGCAGTAAAGTTTAAGTTAAACTGGCTGTTATGCCAGTTTAATTTTGTGCGTGTTATCTTATTGTAGAAGATTTTAAGAGCTTTCAACACGCTCTTAAGCAGTTGCAAGCGTGTGAACCAGGCTTTACTTGCCATCCCAAGGCATTGGACTTTCTGGTGCCACAGTTAATAAAAATAGTTGAATTAAAATTAGCTTATAAATGGACAAGTGGAAGCTTGGGAACGATTTTCGCAAGTTTAGCTGGGTTTCAATTAAAGCATAGCACAACAGTAGTGAAAGGCTTGGAAAAACTATTCAATATTCCATTTGAAATTATTCGACCAAAACCACTACTATTTGCTTCGAATTTGAAATCAAATTCAACTATTTGCACAGAGCATGGACCCATAATAGTCCCATATAACCGACATCTAATACAAAAGCAACATACAGGCATGGGTAAACAAATTCATACCTGTTTATACTCTGCCATTTCTTCTTTCAGGTCCTCAAGCTCCTCCTTCTCAATGAGAAGTTGCTTCTTCTCGGCAGAAATATTTTCCAAGGCGTCTTCCAATTCCTCAAAGTCCGACTTTGTCAACTCCTCTGTTTTGGCGACAGGTTTCTTCTCAACTAACGAAAGGAAATTAATCAAGAAATTACAGCAAGAACCGAACATGAAAACAAAGTTACAGCAACAAGAATGAAATATGAGAACCATCATATTTTATTTAGCGTTACTACAATAGTGAAAAAAAAAAAAAAAAACTTTATGAAGTACTAATCTATTTCACTCTTCAAAACAGAAACACAGAGAGAGAACTAGGAAATTTTCAGCTGCCTTAAACTCTTTGTGATTTACTCACATTCAGTCGCCTTGTCCACAAGAACTGCGGCCTTGTCCTCGAGAATCTCGTGGATTTCTTCTTCAGCCTTTTTCACAAGGTCCTCTTTCAGTTTCTATACAAGGAAAACAATTATCAAGGAAACACAGTGTCATCGCTAGCATCAAGACTGAAAGAGAGACTATGTTGTGGCTTTCCCTTGCATCATAAAGGCCAATAAAATGTTATCTGATTCGAACCACTATTCTATTCACACATCCCTAGTTTCTGGTGTTTATCTTTTCTTAAATTCGATTTTATAAATTTACACCTATTTCACTCAAAACAAAAAATCAGTATTTTTAGGCCTGTATTCTGCACCGGCGTGACCCCCAGCTGACAAATTCGCCAAAGAAAACCCCTAAAAACCAGGCTTCATATAGTAGGTGTGGCTATTAAATAACGAGACTGGGCATACTTATACAGAGGGGAGTGCATGCAAGTGAGTGAACCTTTGAAGCTTCCGAAAGCAGACTAGACATGGCGGGATGGAACAAGATGAGTCAACATGGCTATTGTTAAAATGAAACAATGCACCAATCTCATATTTCTTGTTAAATTTCTTGTGAAACATCAACAAATGTAGCAACAAAATGGATTGATCAATGTAATGTTCTAGTTGCTTATGGTCACTTTTGTGACCCCACAAATGTTCTAGTGAATATTCATTTGGTTCTTGCACTATTCATACCTTGCGCATATCTCTAAATTGTTACTTTTGCACACTTCTAATATAAAGGTATACATTAAATGAGTCTATGAAGCTTGCTCCAAGCTTTAGCAATGTGAAGACTGAATTCTGAGTACTACAAGTTTGCCAAAGCGAAAAATTGTTGCACGGTCCCTATAGTACCAGTACCATATTTTCCGGACTATACAGATTTAAAAGTTAACATTCCAGGCCGTGTTGACAATAGAAAAATTTGTTTTTCACATTCACACATTATCAATGCGGTTTTCACCTATCGTAAAATACCGGGCAAGAGCCCACTCAAAATTTAGAGATAATCGCGAAAAAATGGGGAACGGGCGCTTGTACAGTCATCAATTTTACATATAAATGTACTGTGCATATTTTCTCAGATCCTAGAAATTTGGTATGGTCGCTTAATGTGGTATGGGCAGATGCGCGGTATTTTACGGTAGTGCAGTTGTCGAGACCACACTCTTTCACACTGTGCATTAGCCAATAAGAGAGAGTGAGTCTGTTGCTTTCACGCTCTATGTCCCCATGGGTGTTGTGCAAAGTAGCCGAGCCCAAGAAGACAATCTGGATCAAGGCAGGTAAATAAATGACTCCCGAGTCCTTTCGGAACCACGGTCTTTGGCTTTTCGAACAAAGCAGTGCCCACTTTCATTTGTTTTGAGATAATATGAGTATATACCGGGTGAAACAAGGAGACGGTAGGCTCTTTAAATCGACCGGAAAATTCGGTTTCTTAACCTATCGCGCTACGACTTTGTGCAGCGTCGCCCACAGATGGTGCATTTTTTTTGTAAAATTTGCAAAGAGCGAACTTACCTGAGGAAAAAGTAAAGAAAGAAAAAGGCTTAGCTCCTATGGAAACGCAGCGACGCCACCGGTCTGCAATCAACACGGCGCCGTTTTGCACGGTAGACAAGAGATGGCGCAACGAACGCCGCCAACGAATGAGCATACGGCGCCGAGAGCCAGCGTTTTTAGCAGACGATCTTTTCGAATCAAAAGCGGCGCGCGTTCCGCAAACGGCGACAGTTGCAGAAACAAAAACAGGCGCGGTAACAACAAGCAACTGCAGTTCCTTGTCTGCTAAAAACGCCGGTTCTCGGCGTCGTCTGCTCGTTCGTTGGCAGCAGTTGGCGTCGCGACCGCTTGCGCCATCTCTTGTCTACCGTGCGAAACGGCGCCGTGTTGATTGCAGACCGGTGGCGTCGCTGCGTTTCCATAGGAGCTAAGCCTTTTTCTTTCTTTACTTTTTCCTCAGGTAAGTTCGCTCTTTGCAAATTTTACGAAAAAAATGCACCATCTGTGGGCAACGCTGCACAAAGTCGTAGCGCGATAGGTTAAGAAACCGAATTTTCCGGTCCATTTAAAGAGCCTACCGTCTCCTTGTTTCACCCGGTAGACAATAACAATATTGAAAAGAAAAATTTGCATTAGCATTGGTTTATTAGTGAGTATGGAGTGCAATATGTCAGGGAACTAACAACTTATCATTTTTAGCAAGAGTATACATGGATAAAGTCAATAACTATACTTGCGGACAACTTTCTGCGGCTATGGAGTGAAAGCTATGGACGCTCGCACACCTTGAGCACTTATCAAAGCTGTGCATGTGCACTCTTTACTTTTTCTCAAACACTACAGAAAGTTGTTGTCCACGAGTGTAGTGCTCTCTCTCTAGTGACAAACTTTTTTTCAGAGACAATAGTTCAGACCGGGTGGGAACTATAGTCGAGAAAATATGGTACTCTACTTGTTTTCACCTCAAGAACCACAGTAAGAAAATTCCGGCTCGTTGTGCAGTGTTTCCAATTTCCCCCTTTGTGTAAAGAATTAAATTAGTGTAGGTGCATTTTAGATCAGATATATGTTATTGTACCAAGATGTACATGTTTCAAACGTCAAAAGTATCGCTTCTTCCTTCGACAACCAAATCCAGTAGGAACAACTTTGCACAGCGTATGAACAATGTGCAAAACTTCTTTTTCTTGAGGTGAAAACAAGTACTGTCGAGACCGGTTAAAACGAAGTGGGCTATAACGTAGTGGGCTATAACGAAATAGTGGCTACAGCGAAGTGATCGCGATTCCCCATTCCCGTTTGCACTTTTTTAATGTATTGGTGCCTGTTTTAGCGAATAAAATTGAGCAGCTACCACAGCTATTCACGACTCCAGCAAAATGGACGCCACAAAGCGGGAAAACCGGGAACCAGCTGGAACAGGTCGCTCTGCGCCTCTCCGCGTCTCTGGCGGCTCTCGCGGACAAGTGTTGTCAACGCGGTGGCAAACAATGTAATTTGACAAAGGTCCGAATATTTCTTAAGTTTGCTTGAGCGTTCATTAGTGTGGTGAAGCCTCAAAACATTCTTTCCTTCCACCACGTGTTTTCAAGCCCATATACTCCACAACACACGGTCGCGTGCTTTCGATTTCTTGGATGAAGAGGGATCAGGAAAAACATTTTGATTTCTTGTCTGTTTCGAATCCCACTCAAAGTGACGACAACTTGGTAACTGATAAGTGGTTTCTTTATAGGGATGTAAGTGGTTTCTTTATAGGGAAGTAGAACAGCGGACTGAGGGCGACAGACGAGGTGTTTCACTGGAGGGACCACGAATGTTGCAGTCAAGTGAATGGGAAGGTTCAATAGCTGCTTGTTCTGAGTTTGGTTGTGTTCAATCAGCTTGAAGATTGAGCCACCCACGCCGGTCGGTGCGTTGGCTATTCATCTCCGCTGCTTTTCGCCGAAAAAGCCTCTGGACCACACCGAAGATGTTGGGCTGATTTCGCAATTACCTGATTTCAAAAAACCTGCTCGCTGCGTACAACTAATGAGGTAAATCATCCGCTTTCAAAGGGTGGGGAACGCGTCATGCAAAGTAAGAAGCTGTCACGACATTTTGATCTCTCCCGGCTCCAAAATTTATACGATGCCCCCGTCGAAGCCAGCAGCAATATACGTCGTCTACATTGTTCATGTTGTCCGGCAACAAAAAATACTCAACTTCTCCGTTAAGGATTCAAAGTCGAGTTCAATGCAGGGGGGTCTGCGTAAATCTCCGATGAAGGCTCTCTCCAGTTTGTCCGCATTCATCTCCGTGCTGTCGGCTAGAATCATTTGGCTGAGTTTAAGTAGTATATCTCTGTCTGTCAAATATACTGTTATTCAGCAGTTCACCTAATAGCTAGTCAACTAAGCTCATATTTCAACCCGAAGAATATATACTAATATCGCTTCAGTGGGACCATAGTACGTAATAAAATACATAACCAGCATATTCGTCAAAATGACTTCTCGATTGCTACTAAAACCTGAATTGAAATATGAGTATCAGCTGCTTAGTGGGGCACCAGCGGGGTTAACATGCTCGTTGGATCAAGAAGCGTTTGCTTAATTTTCGTAATTTTCCCGCAGCATGTGTTGTTGACCGAGCAGACGCTGGAGTTGTTTCTTAAACTCTGATACGCACAAAAGCTAGATTTCGCGGACTGATAAGTTGCATGGTTGAGGCATGCGAATTAACTGAAAATTACTCTCGGTGGAACAATTCTATAGACATCACCGCTTTCCTTAGCTGATCAAAACTGATTAGGGTCTATTAGTGTGTCTCGGAGCCCATAGTTTTGGTTTAGAACGAAATCTCCGAAACAGAAGTTTGACATGAAAAGAACACAAAGCACCGGGAAAACGAAACTATGCTCTACAAGTTTATGTGCACCGGCTACACTTAACCGTTGCAGTTCAAATATCCAGAAAATAGGGCATTAAATAAAACAAATCTGTTAAATTGAATGTGCCACCCGTTCAACCTGCCCGGCCGACCCGACGCAACCTGTTCCCAGCAGCCATGTTTGTTCGGTGGTGGCGCCCCCTATAGGTCGCTGGAGTCGCGAATAGCGAAGATAAAATTTGTGATAATTTAAAAAAAATAAATAATAAAATTTGTGAATTGTATTAAGCTGCAGACCACCGCCCTTTGATGCTGCAATGAGCAGCCACCAACAATGGGCCGCAGACGCTGCATCGTTGTCTGCTCCCCGCTCATCTGGGAAGCTGCTTTTCCACATCGCACACCAAGAAGCCTTTGTAGCATGCCGATAGGGGTGTTTGGAGTGCTAGTGACAATGTACCAATGGAGACGACGGAGAGAGCTTAGATGTAAGAGGGGGAGCAACTCCAACCGTGAAAAGCATTTGCAATTTAAAAGGACACTAACACCCCCAAAAAAGTTTTAAAATTTTTTGCCAGGCAATTCATTATGGTGTCGGAATACTGCCCAATTAATATTTTGCTACAGAGTCACATATTTTTTTAATAAAGCCAAAAAAAAAAAGCAACTGCTCGAAACTGAAATCCACGCACTGCACGGAGATGTGGAGAGGAGAGAGTGAGTGGCGGAAGTCACGTGGTTACACCCGACCGTGCAATTTTTTTTTTTTTTTCTTCCGATGCAGCAGATTAAATGCGTTCGGGAAGCATCCACCGTGTGATTCCTTTGCAGTTATGTTTGTTCCGCTCGCTGTTCTGTAGTTCAAGATGAGTTGTTTTGTACATTTAAAGGGGAACTCCGCCGATTTTCTGGTAGACTTCGATTTGGCTGGAAATTTGCAGACCGCGTCAATAACCCTTTCTCAAATGATAAGCAAAATATTTTCAGAAAAGAAAAATTTTCCGTGAAGTTATTGAATTTTCAAGTTACGCCGGCCGCGAGGGTTTCAGGAGGCGACTCTCTACTGGCAACAATGAAAAATCCCTACTTTTCCCTACCCGCGTACGTCACGAATGTGCAGGCGACTCACACCGGCCAGCTCTCGATCGGCGGTTTTCGGGCAGAAAGAAACCGAATTTCGAGCTGCAAATTCTGTACTGGGTAGTTGGGCTCTCATATGTCATGTACAACTAAAAACCTCGGCGAGCGTAGATACCCTGTCAGTGTCCCTTTAATGGCCGACGTCTCCCGGGCAGACTGGCGCAAGTGCCCCTACCTGCATTTGGTTGCGCATGGCCAGTGTGGCGAGGATACCTGACAGAGAGGCGGACAGGTTTGCAGACGGTGAACGCATTTGAGTTTTGACTCCTTGCAGGCTGCAGCTCGTATTGCAAACGCGGCCCACAAACCACATGACCCAGATGAAGCAGTTGCCCCATCTCTTAAATCTAGGCTATCTATACCGATGAAACACAAACTTGAGCGTGAATTTGGTGCTGTGCGCACTTCTTTGTTTGCTTTGTCTTGTGTGTCGGCATCGCTGGTCGGTGTGGTCACTCTCTGTGCAAAAGTAACTTTGCTCAAGCACCAATTTGGCGAATCATCGCCACTCAACGATGGACAGCCCCAGCACCGCTGGGACTTTGACGGAGAAGACGAAGGCAACTTCCTTGAAACAAAACCGTGCCATCCTGGTTGAAGTGCCCATAAATGTTAAGAATGCCATCCATTGCCAACGTCCTCCGCGGCAGCCGTCGCAGCTCTCAACACGGTTTGCCCGTAGTTCGAAAAATCTTTTCTCGATCGGAGCTTTTCGCAGTTCGCAAAAAGCAGCTCCAATCTAGCAGAGAGTGCGTGCAGGGAAGCCTCGACCACTTTCTGCAGGCACGATAAACATGTGCCTGTGACGGACCGTGTTATCTCTTTTTTGCGCGTTACTTTTCTGGAGTCCAAATATAACGAAGCAGCGGATATAGCGAAGTGATTTTTTATTCCGGTTGACTTTGTTATAACTGGTCTCAACAGTATATAGATTCTAAAATAGTTTACTCAAATGTGACATTATTTCAGCTTCATTTTGAGTTTTATCATTTCTGCTTACAAACAAGGTCCTCAGGCAGATTTTTGTTTGTCCCAAAGTTGTAGCTGCTTAGGGACACAAGCCCGAGCATCTTCAACTTTTCAAATTCCCACGCATCTTATTACTATCTTGAGCGGGAGGACTCCCCCACACGCTTTTCTCACCTCGGATTCTTTAGCAGATTCTTCCTTTTCCTTCTTGATGGCTTCCTCCTCTTGCTTGATGATTTCTATCTTCGTGCGATTGTCAACTTTTCCTTCTCGCTCACCAATTTTGTATTTGGCTTCAGTAACCTGCAATTTAAAATTTAAAACCCTCTTCAACGTTTAACCGCACCAGTTTCATCAATCACAAAAAAAAACAACTCCCGAGCATTTTCTGGTCTTCATATTTTGCAAAAAGCATATCAAAATACTTACATTAATGGAAAAGTTCTACAGTTTGGAATAGAAGCTATGGTGAAAACATTTAAAGCATTCTCTAGTCACTAACAGAGAAGAAGTGCAGGGCGTCTCTTTCGGAAGCCAGATCTCCAGCACGTGCTAGTTGCCTTACATCGTGATTTGGCTGCGCACGCACGCTCGAAGCTTACAAGACACTAAAGTCTTATCGAAGGTAAGAAGGTCATGCTGCAAGTGGGATGGAAGAACTCCCTGCTGTTCTTATCCTGTCAGTGACTGCATGCCTGAAATATGTTAATATAAAAAAATGTGAGATGTGCCGGGACTCGGGGCCTGTGAAATGCCCTGCTCACTGTCCCAGCACAATTCAGTGTTTCTGGGTTGAAAGGTGCTTGTTCCAACATTTTCTAGACTCCATTCATAGATTGCCATTACTGCTCTTTCTGCATTCCGAGGAAAAGTAGACTTACGGGCCTTTTCCACTTAAAGGTCAATTGACATAACGAGCGAATATGACAAGCAGCTGTGCAGAAACAAGACAACAGAACTAATACAGCAGAATATTTCAATGACCCAGTTGGCTTTAACTTCATTAATAAAACAGCCCCATGCTGAAAGGTAGAAAGAGCAAAACTTCTCCAAATAAATACTAAAAGGATGAAAAAGTAACCCTCCTCTAGACCTTGCATTGTTTAGCTTACGAACAGCTTGAACTAGACATTCCCAACTGATATTAGAAAGACTACTGGGTTCTCTATAAAGACTGCAATGATGCCACGTCACATGGTCTGCGCTCTTGGGCCCTACGGCAGAGCTGACCAAAAAGACTGTGAGCACGCACCGCCTCCTTGGGCAAGGTGGAGATGGTGGCCTTGAGCTGCTCGGTGGCCGGTAGAGCCTCCGAGAGGAACATGGCCCGTGACAGCAGCAGCAGCGAAGGTGGGATGTTCTCCTTGAGGCTCAGGTCCAGCCACTGAGCCAACTGGTATCGCAATTTGGGCTCGGGGAGACCCATGGCACGCATGCCACGTGAACGACAGGCTGCCTGCAGCTCCGCCACGGTCAGCGATTCAATGCCTTCCTTCTGGATCATCTGCAGAGGCAATAAAAGTCGCAATTATCAGTACCTGCTGCACCCAAGGAGGCTTGCTAATCTATGACAAACTTCAAAGGGGAAAATGCAACATTGTCTACTGTCAATCCCGTTTATAACGAACAGCAGGAAACACTACGATCAGTTCGATATAGTAAAAACCATTTACAACGAACTTCCACGATGCGTTCGTTGTAAGGCGAGAGCTTCTCTTTCTTTCTGATCTCTTCGCTTCCACCTTGTAACAAAACGCTAAAAACTTTTTTTTTTTGCATGTGTGCAGTTTGTTTTTTTAGTTTATATCTCCCCTTTTGAATCGCTTCTCTTCGAGGACAATCGCTTTGGGATGAAAAACTTTTTTCTGTGCATGCTTGCAGAGTGTTTTTTTTTTTTTTTTAACTTTCTCCCCTTTCTGAATCATTTCTCTTCGCTCAATTTTGTTTGCGGCTTGAGCTTTTGAAATTTTCTTTCTTCCCTACTCTTTTTTTTGGGGGGGGGGGGGGAGGAAGGGACAGGCTAGAAGACGATTGTTTGCACGTTTTTGGAAGCCTTCCCGGGGGGAAAAAGTTTGATATAGCAAATATGTTGTTTGTTATAAAAAGTACTTTTTACATGCATTTTTATTTAAATTTTCCGTGACTTCAATACCGACAATAATTTGCTGCACGTGGGTTCGTTCTAAACGGGTTTCACTGAACTACCGCGAAGCAAGGTGGGTATGGAGGCTGGGAAGTTTTGGCACAGACTTTAAAAACCTTAAGAGAAACTTCTTGTTACAAAGTACCTCATCAGGTTCTCCAATGTCCTTAACACTTTGAGTGCCAAGTTATGTTGCTCCTGGCGCGTGCCCCATGTACCGTAAAAACCCGCGTATAGCCCGGGTTTTTTTTTCTAAATTTTAGGGTGTGAAATTTCGGCACCGTACTATATGCGGATCTCAAAACTTTTCGGCCCGAATTCACAGTTTTGGTTTCAGTTTCGGCATTGGGCGGTGCTATCATCATCATTAGGTGTCTGCGCGCTTCTGTGTTAGGTAGCGTTAGTGGCGTTGGTGGCGATAAAGGAGGTTAGAAGTACTAGGAGGGGGCACGTTGCAATATTGGTGAAGCCTAGTCATAAAAAGTTTAAACGATTTTGTGCCCAGCGTGACCGCAGATCTCTCTGGCGATTGGTGCGCGTGACATGTCACGTGTGAGATGGATGGTTGATTGTAGAAGGATTTCTTGCAGGGTTGCGCGCGCTCCGTCCGGTAGGTTTTATCAGATCGAAGGCTAGACTGTGGTGTATTCTAGTACCCCATAGCAAGACGAAGGATAGCTACGGTCACATGATGTGGTCACGTTGGCATGGTAAGTGAGGAGAGTAAGGAGAAAAATGAGAAAGAGGCGAGGCGTCAAGGGAGCATGGCTTGTGGAGGCTACGCGGCCGACGTCATGCCCTCTCCTACCCTTCTATCCTCCTTGGTGGCGATAGTCCTAGAGACCTACAGGACAGGCGTGCAACAGTGGCCATTGCATCACTTGGCGCACATCACGACGGCCACAATTTTCTGCGATTTTACACCATGTCAGGACTGCGCAGGCAGTACTCGGCTGCCTTTAAAAGAAAAGTTATTTCTGCTGCCGAAACCATCGGCAACTGTGCTGCGGAGCGGCAGTTCGGCGTGAACAAGCGGAGCATTCGCGGTTGGCGGAACCAGAAGGAAGCCCTTTTTGCATGCAGCGGTCAGAGAAAAACTTTCCGGGGACCGAAAAATGGAGCGTTTCCCGAAGTGGAACGAGAACTGACTGACTTTGTTCGGGAGCAACGAGCTGCGCATCTCGCGGTGAACATCGAGCTGCTGCAAGCAAAGGCAAGGGAGATCGCTCGAGACAAAGGCATTCAGCGGGCGGACTTCAAGGCAAGCAAGCACTGGGTGTCTCGCTTCATGCGCTGCGCTGGGTTCTCCCTACGTCGGCGTACGTCGATCTCGCAGAAGCTGCCAGAAAGCTACGAAGAGCTGCTTGTGGCTTTTCAGAAGCACATGATTTCTTTGCGAAAGGCAGTCCCCTTTCAGCTGGGCCAGATCGGCAACGCAGACCTGACGCCGGTGAACCTCAATATGCCCTTGGCTCTAACGGTGCATCAAAAAGGCTCCAGGCAAGTTACCGTGCGATCAACTGGGAACGAGAAAATGCGGGTAAATGTAATGTTGTCCTGCATGGCAGACGGTCGCAAGCTGCCACCCTACGTGGTGTTCAAACGAAAGACGCTGCCGAAGAGGGAGAAGTTCCCAAAAAATGTTGCCATCCGCTGCCAGGACAAGGGGTGGATGGACGAAACGCTAGTGCTAAACTGGATAAAGTCTGTGTGGTGTCGACGGCCCGGAGCACTGCTGGGGTTCCCATCGATGCTTGTGCTCGACGCGTTTCAATGTAATCTGGCGGACTCCGTGAAGCGACTGCTGCGCGACTCCCGCACTGAGCTCGTCGTCGTCCCGGGAGGGATGACACCCAGCTGCAGCCACTTGATGTGTGCATTAATAAGCCGTTTAAGGATATGGAGCGGATGAGGTCCGGAGAGCCGGAAGTGACCCCTGCCGGACGGCTGAAACGGGCCTCGCCAGCTCTGCTCTGTGCATGGATCGCCGAGGCGTGGGCCTGCATTCCCGAGGCGCTGGTTTGTCGTGCCTTTAAAAAGTGCTCCATTTCAAACGCGCTTGATGGCACGGAGGATGAGGTGCTGTGGGAGGACATTTCCGACAAGGGAACTTCGGAAGAGAGTGCGTCAGACGAGGACGACAAATAAGGTGTAATGTAAATAAATGCATTTTTCTGTTTTTCTTGAACTATATTCGCATGAAAACGTTTTTTCTCGCGTTTTCTATCCCCGAATTGCACCTCAAACTATATGCGGGTCCCAACTATACGCGGGTTTTTAAGGTAGTTTTTTTTTCCCTGCAGCCCGAATGCCAATTTTTTGCCTCAGTAACAAAGTGGCATGCTTAAAGAAATATATTTATTTCTTGAAAGTATACTGATTTACCAACGAAGTTAACTGGAGCCTGCATGCCTCCCAATTTAGAAAATTTTCCTAATATGGTACTCTTCAAATCACAATACTAAGCAGAGGAGTATTTTGACTTCACACGCTGAGGCAGCTCTTTCAAGTGGCAAGGACTCGGCATTGTTTTTATCCAGAACCGTAACTACTCTCATTTTCATAGTACAGTAAACTCAATTGAGCAAACTTCAAGGGACCAAAGGAAATAGTTCACTTAACTGAAAGTTCACTAAACTGAATATATTCACTAGAATATGAAACAGCATAGGGCACAGCATACGTTGAGTCAGAAGTGTGAAATGCAATTTGTGGAGTCATGTACATCTATATATACAAAGTGTATAACAGTTAAGTTGCTGCCTTTCTCTCATTTTAATAAAACAAATCTGTAATTTTCATTTGCATAAAGTAACAAAGTTTTCCAGAGAGTCTACACTTCATTGCACTTCCTCTGGCACAACTTGTTGCTGTGACGAAGCCATACTGCAACGGCATCGTCCACTGGCTTGAAATATCCTGTGCAGAGTCGTTTCCTGTTGGGATTGAACGCAGTTTCTCCTTCAAGCTTCGACTTTTGCTTCACTATCGTTAACAACGTCAACGGTGGAATCCTATAGTCCTTCCACCTGCCTTTGACCGTTGTCCAGACACTGAAGGATTTTGAGCTTGTCTGATAAAGACAACCGCTTCTGTTTCGTCGTACTCGTTACAAAAGTGGGTGCACACACTGCCGTTCTGCCATTGTTACCCAAAACTAAGATGGCCGAACGAAACCGATTACAAAGAAAAAACAGACACACCACGTGATTTGCTTTCGTCTACTGCACCGCCGCTTTGCCTTGGCGGTGCTGTAAACACCAGCGATGATACGCTGCCGCTGCAGAGGCGGTAGCGGCGGGGTGGCGGGCATCGGCTATGCCAGCACTGCAGAGCACAAAACTTCGTTGAACTGATTGCAAAAATATTCCTGGGTCCACCGATCAAGTTCTGAAATATTCGCTATTCCGAAATTCATTCATTTGTTTAACTTCAACATTTTTGCATAGAATGCGTACGAAAACCGCCGGGGATTTTTTAAAAATTCGTTATTTTTAAATATTCATTAAACCAACGTTCGCCCAAGTGAGAGTTTACTGTAGTTGGAGTCCCAAGCTCATCGGTAATCTCTGGATTTCAGTGTCCATCATCAAGCCCGAGGTTGAAGAACAAAGATTTTCCAATTTAGAACATCAGAGATACACAATAAAACAGAACTCGCCTAAACAAAAATTTCAACTGTTTCCATCACTTGTACAAATAATAGCCCACATTAAAAAAAAAAAAAAAAAATCTTAGCTGGAGTTTGTTTTAGGAGTGGCGGCGAGCACACTGAAACTGCACATGCACAAGTGTACATGCGAGCAGCAGAGGGCATGCACAGGAGCATTCCCGAGTATATTTGGGTGTGACACTCAAAGGGTTAAGAACATGTCTCCTCTGATTATATGCAAAATAATTGCTGAAAAAGGCTAAGTCAAGAACAGTCTTCGATGAGCTGCCTATGAAGGTAAAGTCTTCAACAGGTTTCGAGAGGTTGGGGGTCCAGGTGGCAAAAACAACTAAGGGTATCTGGCATGCCCTAGCAAAGCACCGAGAATTTCGACCACCTGCAACCTTTGAATACACTCCCATGTGCGTACGGAAAGTCAGCGAATAATCACACACACTTGCGGTTAATTGCAGTCGAGTCATTGGGTCTTACTAAAATGCTAATAAATTTTTGTTAGAACTGTATTCATTGGCAGTTTCCTTCATTATCTACTTCCTTTAAGAGCAGCAATGCTTTGCTTATGTCTTGTGGTGAACTATGAATATTTAAATTGCCACTTTGTATGTCAGAGAAACACTAAAATCACCAAATCCTTTATCACTACCCAGAAAAAACAATTTCTGCTAAAATGTTGATTTTGAAAAATGCCATATTTACATCCACCAACATCTAGAGAGTATTCCCAGAAAGTTTCATTAGTTTACACAGGATAGTTAATTTTTTTTAAAAATTATTTTCGGTCCACCGATGCTAAAGAAAAGGTTGAAGTTGGAGCACTTTGAACGCATTTTTCCCCGTTCCACTTTTTGGCAAAAATTTCAAAACTATTGTTTCAGTATGAAATTATCGAGAGACTTAACATTTGAGGGCTTATATGCCGGAATATTATGGAACCGGTTACTATGAACTTAGATTTGGCATTTTCACGTTCCTTTATATGAAAAATCGTAATTTGCAAAACTTGGTACATGTAAACTTTTTTTTTTTTTTCATAAATTCTTTTTTATCTGTAAAATGCCTATCTTCTGAAATTTCTTTTCGTAGTAACCGGCAACAAGCATTCCAGTATGCATTCCGCCAGAAAAATGTGTGGTTATATACATGATTTCTTACTGATAGATTCATTGAGCAGATTCTATGCAAAGCTAGGCTTGACTTCGTTCTGTGTACCAATAAAATTGGTACACAGGCCTGAAACTTAGCATGCCCTACTTCTATATGGCTACAAACACCACCTGCAAATATCATGCCAATTGTGTGAGTGGTTCAAAAGTTAACCTTTCCAAGGAAAGGGGCACTGACACCCCAAAGGTCGTTTTTTTTTTTTGTAGTCTAAAACGAGACAAGTTGTAGTCATAGACACGCAAAAAAAAACACCACAACGCGAAAAAGAATTTCCCCACGTGCGCATGCACCTTTTTATTTTTGGCATTTTTCTCTCCCACTTCCTCACCTCTTTGCTTCGTTTGATTTGTGATGTCAAATATTATGGAACTTAGAAGCCTTGTAAGTGACATTTCTACAGTTGAACCTCGATTTAACGAAACCCAATTTTACGCATTTCCCGATTTAAAGAACAAATCCGGATTCCCCGCGCAGCCTCTGCCCGCAAAATGACTCTCGATTTTACAAAGTTTCCGATTCGATGCATGCAGCAGAGGATGATCAATGAGTCGGACGAAGTTGGCTTCTCTAGGTGCCCGACGACCTCTCGGACTTCCTTCGAAAAGGAAATAGTCAAACGGTCAAAACCACTGGGTATGGTGTCTTTGTATCATAGTTTCGGTTGCGACTCCGCCGGCCCACTACACCGGGGCAGCCTTTCACGCAAAAGCAGCGTGACGTGGCCCCTCACAACGCTTCCAAAAGTCCACTGCATGTTCTCTTCGACAGTGGCGTACCAACTTTGAGTGGGGGGGGGGGGGGGGGCAAACTAGACCCTCCCTCCCTCCCTCCCTCCCTCCCCCCCCCCCCCCTCCCTCCCTCCCTCCCCCCCCCCTCCTCCTCCTCCTCCTCCTCCTCCCTTGTCCCCCGGTGGGGGGGGCGGTTCCTTTGGTGTCCCTTGGGCGCCGCAGGCCAGTGTTTGCCCTGCCCAGTGGCGGCCGTTTCAGGGGGGGGAAAAACACATGCCTTGCCCCCCCACTCTGAGAACTGGGGGGCAAGCGCCCCCCCAGTTCTCCCCCAGTTGGTACGCCCATGCTCTTCGACATCACACAGCTCCAAAGGATTTGAGATCGCTGAAAGGGTCCTAAAAAAAACTTTAAACTCGAAAGTCAAGCGTCGTCTACTTGCAGCGATAGGCGGCACGCACGGAGGAAACCGATTGTTTGCAGGACACCGGCAAACACGACACTTGGGGTGGCGGCGGTTCGGAGGCGTCAGAGAAACTCGGTTCAAAAGACGGCTTAATATCTGATGTCACTGCACTGGCGCAGATCATGCGGGAACTTCAAGTTTGGCCATTTGGAAATTGTTTTTTACTTCACAAATACTAAATTCCCCAATTTCGAATTTTTAGGAGGCATCACTTTTAATCATATTGTATAATAAAAAAAGTGATTTTGACATGTCAGTGCCCCTTTAAAAAAAAACGAAAAAAGAAATGGAAAGGCAAGGAGCAGCAGACCTTAGCTGCACCCCTCTAAATGCAGTTGCAAACAAAAGAGAATAATTGACGGTTAAACAAGAGGTAGTAACAAAGAGTCGACAAGCCCCACCTGGTCATCGGCATTCAAGCTTCGAAGCTTCATCCGGAGCTGGAACCGAAGGAAGTTGTTGGTTCCAATGGGCTGTAGCTCTAGCAGTCGGCACAGGGCAGTCAATTGTGGTCGCGTTAGGCTATCCAAAGTAATTTCGTCCTCAAATAGCTTCGAGAACTTGAGAATTTCATCACTCGTTGCCTGCTCTCCACTTTCCCGTATCTGAAATAGCAAAAAATGCAATGGGCAATAAAAAACAACAACAAAGACTAACTGAAATTCCTTGTCACTGGTGTATAGGACCCTCCTTCAGAATGGTGTTGTGATGCCTTCATTTGAATACTTATGCTAGGGCAGCAACAACCAGAGAGCAGGCAAATTAAGTAGCTATGATGAAAACACTATGTGGGGATTTATCTGTCACTACTATTGCAATATACATCCGGAGAATTATCCATCAAACAAATTGCAAAAATAGATGTGGAGCGTCATCCATTACAACTAACTTTAGTTAGATTCAGATGCCGCTGAAGTTACCCTGAAATGATTCTGTCTATAAATCAATTCGATCCTGTACATTAACAAATTCAAAGCTTGTGAGACACTGCTCAATCTTAAAAAAATGTGAGAGACTGTAATGAGATTGCAAAGTATCTTCAAGATGCATTTTTTTTATGCCTATGCAAGAAAGTTCACTCAATACCATATTTACTCAAGGAATCAACATACTGTATTAGAACAAAGCCTGCGCATCTGCTCCCCCTCAGTACATATGGATAGCCAATCACTACGATAAACCGGAGGAGCTCAGTGAATTATGGGCAGGAATAATGTCTCCATGCGAAAATGGTATCTGTGTGGGTTGCATTTTCAGAGAATTGTTTCCTCAATCTCATTATTTGCCAAGCTGCTTATGTAGGACGTGATAACTGCAATGTCTGGCACACCGAGTTCTTTTTATCCAACCTTCTCCCACTGAAGTAGAATAAGTACATAATTTACCTTTTCACAGAACTCAGCAAACTGCTTTGCATTCTGGGAGTGAGCCTCTCCTCGTGTTTTTACCGCCATTTCATCCAGGGTGGACTGCAGGAATTTGGCCATTTCAAGCTTAACCTTCAACTCCTTTTTAATTTTTGCATCCTGAAAGAGAATTTCAGTTTAGTATGAACATGCGAAGTATCAAGAAAATCATGCCAACATTGTACTGTCAGCTTGGATCAAATGGGGCCACATCTTCATAGTCTATTGCATTTGTAGCTACTTGCAGCATATTACTAGCATTTTGTCAACATGCATCAAAGAACTATCACACTGCCATTTCCATCACTTCCATCTTATTACAGGCAGCATTTCTGGATGAATGAGGTGTAGAAAAATGGTCTTGGAACGAATAATCCCAAGAGCGATGCAAGAAAAAAAAAAAACTACTATAAAAAGTTACAATTAAAATATCTATTCAAACTGCTTCCTTTTTTTTTCAACTATATGTATTTGAAATGAAGAATTTAGTCACATAATTTTGGACTGGCTACTTTACAACAAGTGAAGGTTTTTCCTTTTAGATTTTATTTTATTGACATTTGCTGGGGTTAAAAAAATCAAGTCAGTTTCTTTCTTAAATTTAACATATTAGAAAAATGTTTGATCAGATGGGAGTTATTACCACATAACAGGCCTTTTACAGTCCACATTTTGATTATGGTCTTTCGAAAGTCACAATGAAAACTATTCCCATTACCCCCCATCATATAACCCAAATTACCACTACTTTGCTGGTATTGCATAGTCACTGTAACAATAAGACACTTAAGACTGCTTACGTGTAGGAATGCAAAGTCATTCATATACGTAGCATAATTCTATAAGCTGCGCGCCCTGCTATCCTCTGCAGAGGCCGGCCGGACAGCCTCTGCGGAGGCCATCCGGCCGGGCTCTGGGTAGCGGCGGGTGTGCACTGTTGCAGCAGCGCGTGGGAGCAGCGCCAGGAGTGTGGGGTGGCATTCCTTGGAACTACCCGGCGCACAGGCCGCATCGCAGCCATTCTAAGAGCCGTTACGGAGCGGAGGAAATTTTGCTGCAATTTTTCGCGGTTACGGACAACGCTGGCTCTGCTCTATGGGACCAGTTCATGTTTTCGCATTAAAAAGCGGAGATCATTTTGAACGCCCACCTTCCAGCATGGACTCACTGCTGCCTTTTGTAGTGTGTGCTCAGTGTGCATGCACAATCAATGCTCCTCCTTACTGCTTTAAACATGTTACTAACTATAATACTTAGGTGTTTTAAAGACATTAATGATCTTCAGTACTCACATATTTTATTAACAAGACAGATAAACATCCAACTATTTAACTAGAGTAAAAAAGGAACTTGGTCTTTTGAGATAAGATCACACCGCAACAATATGACCAGTTCTGGTTACATTGTTGCACTTGTGCTATATTTTCAAGGACCATATTTCCAAGGACCACTTCTTCCATTGGCCACATGAATGGGAAGCTGTTACAAACATGCCCCTATTTAGGAATGGATAAGAAAAGCCCCTTACATTCCAAATGGCACCACTAAAGCGTTTTACCTACCGTAAAATACCGGGAAAGAGACCACCCCTTTAACTGAAAACTGGGTTAATCTAGACATGGGTGCTCGTCTAGTGAAATCGGTAAAAACTTTGACAGCGGCAAATAAAGAGCTTTGAAGGCAGGGTGAACAGAATCAAAGAAAGCACATTTATTAATGCATTAGCATCATTACCCACATGACAAGGAAAAGCTGATGGCGGCCGTCTGTTGACAAAACAGTGGAAACGGAAGTGCACCGCGTAAAGAGGAGAAGAGTAGTGGAGGACAAAGGCGAGGGGGAGGCGACGTCACGGGGCGGAAGCCAATTGGTTCATTGGTTGGTTGGTTGATTTAGTGTTTATGGCGCAAAAGCTACTAAGGTCATAGAGCGCCAAAAACAAGACTATTGCTGGAAAAGGTTTAGAGAGAAAAAAGAGGCTTTAGTAGCCAGTGATTTGATAAAAGATGGTAATGGGGTACCAAAAGGTAAAAGGGTGATGGGCATGATCTGTAGGTTAAGAAAGCTACAATCGGTGTAGAAGGCCGATGCTATCTAAAAATTTGAAAACATTAGTGTGTGTCACAAGAGAATCGTCACTTAGGAGCAGAGCTGGGTGAGCGGAAGCCAATACGCGCGCGGATGCTGAGACGAGTCTGAACTTGCAGGTGTGCAGAGTGCGTATGCCTTGGTTTGTGCTACAAAATTGAGTGTGAACCAGGGCCGTACCCAGAAAAAAATTTCGGGGGGGGGGGGTTTTCGGGGACAACGGCGGCCATTTTGAAAATGTCTATTGTCTTATTTTCGCCTATGAATCATGCGCATCGGTGGCATATAATGGAGAGTTATAGCAAACCGGAGAAACAGTCCCGGTTTGGTACCCGGCAGCTGACCGGCGCCACTGCGAGTACGCAGAGGTGGAGATTAAAATCGGCTGGCTGCAAGTGTACCCGACCAGGGCTGTACCCAGAAAAACATTTCAAGGGGGGGGGGGGGGGGGGGGGGGTCAGGACCCCCTAACCCCCCCCCTGGTTACGGCCCTGGTGTGAACCAAGTACTAGCGCTGGTCCAAGTACGCGGAAAAAGAAGACAGATCGTGTTGAAGGAGACGGGCTGCCGAAACTGGTGAACAATGAAAGCAGTGCCAGGCAGCGAATGCCGCTGCTAAGCATGCAAGGTGGGTGAATGAGAACCCCTAAAACCGGAAAAAAATTAAAGGAAAATCCATTGGTGCATTCTTAGGGAATGCATTAGCATGACCCTTGGGAAACGCCGGACAGATCTTTTTGGGAAACGCTAACACTGACCCCAAACAAAGCCAAAAAGAGGCAGCAAAAGATATAGGAAGCAAAAGAGAAAGCCAAAACAGAAAAGTGAAGTGGTAAGAGCTTCCCAAAAAGGAATGTGTTTAGGATTTCCCAAGGGTCATGAGAACGCATTCTCTAAGGATATACCAATAAATGTTCCCAAATTTTTTTTTTCACACACTGTAGAATACCGTGCATCCACCCATTTCACACTAAGCGCCATGCCTCATAATTTAAAACATCCAAGAACATATGCACAGCACATATATATGTGAAACTGATGACCTCACGTGCATTCATCCCCATTTTTTTCGCAATGATCTCCAACTTCTGAGTAGGCGCTTGCTCGGTATTTTACGGTAATATTCCCACCATCATGGCTGGCGGTCTCAGGGCCGCCACAACAGGGTGAATATATTCGGCTGATGCCGGTGCATTGGAGGGGGTGGGCGCTTAACATATAATTTGCAGAATTCCCAAGTATGAGAAATGTTAGTAGTGAGTGCTCATACGAAGTGAGCGCTTCTGCGGTACAGTGGAATCTCGTTAATTAAAACTCTCTTAATTCAAACTAACACGCAGGTTCCATACTATATGTTTCTAGGAAGGAAACTCCCGGCAATTCAAACTTTGCATTATTCAAACAAAGTTCTGGTCCCCCTGTGGTTAAAATTTACGAGATTCCACTTTATTATAGGTAGTTCCTTCCCAGCTTCTGACTGGCATGTCAAACCAAATCGAAATCAAAACAGTATATTAAATCTAACTGCAACTGAACAGGAATTCAAATTGGACGGACTAAACAAAGCCCTTGTTTATGCATGGCACAGAAATTCAAATCTGCCGAAATAAGGACTGAGGACAAACCTTTGCAGATGACGTCTGGAAAGTTGATGGCAGCATGCTGGGAAAAAGTTTGAGAGCAACAGGAAGCAGCAGTTCCATGAATGGCACGATGACAAATACAGAGAAAGGAAGAAGCCGGAACAAGTCTGAAACTGTTCTTACAAGCTGAAACAAAATGAAGATCGGAAAAGATTTAAATACAAGGACACAATGCTCAAGAAATTATAACCTTCCAAGCTAGACCACATCATTTACCACACTCTAGTAAACATCCAACATAAGCAAAACCCTGTTTCAGACTCCCGAAAAATGTGTACAACTGGAAACACCACCTTTACAGGGAACAAATGCCTAAATCTAATTTCTGAACATTGTCCGGGATATAAGCAGCTGAGGTTAGAAGCCTTAAAATATTATAACCCAGCTTCTGCTGGTTTACAATAAAATTCTTTCAAACTGTCCTTTGAGATGACAAGGTCCTTTGTACGCATAACAGCTCAAAAACATTTGAGGGGCTCCATGCAAGAACTTGATCCTCACACCTAGAGAATGACCTGTAGCTTTTAACCCCTACTTTCCCTCCTCCCAATGCCCTGCAGGCGACTAGCTAAGTCAAATCCAAAGATTCAACAAAGAGTCCCCCCGCCCCCAACTTTGCTTTCTGCCCCAAAATTTATATGAAAAGAGATTCCTTGCTCCCTATCCCGTTCTTACTTCGCATTCCTCAGTCAGAATGCAGCATATAAAAAAGAACATCAACCTTCCTTTCTATACAGCATCCTCTCTGATTATAATGCAAAGAAAAAATGGAAATAAGCCTTTGACTGGTGTTTACACTAATGTTCTTCCCTGACCCTTATTGCTCTAGAGTTCTGTCATTTATTTTTTTTTATTCTTATTTCATACTGCAGACCTTTCATGGCTACACACCTTACTCAAACCCTCTGCAGTGAGGTAACACAGAGCCTATTTGTTTGACAGACAATCCCATCGTCCTTGGGATTCCAATCTACACTTTAATAGTTCTTGCATTCAATTATACAGGGCGACTTTGTTTAGAGGGTTTAGAATTTAAAAAAAAGAAGGAAACTACCATTAGGGTTCTTTCAACCCTGGGGACCACTAAAAATATATATATATTAGCTAAGTAGTTAGCTAATCAATTAAAATAAGTTCAGCTTTAAAATTTTAATTTTGGAGAGCATAAAGTAGTTGGAGAATTGACCCTTGAACTCACTATAGTCTAGCTGCAACATAAAATTTTTATTCAAAAATTTGTAGTAGGCAGTACAGGGCGAGAAATGTCATCCTTGTACACAGCTTCAGAACCGAAATGAACTCTTAAAGGGAAACTTTGCTCATCATTATGCCGAAGATTTCGGGATATTGAGTGAATTATCATTAAAAGCCCTAGTAAAAGACACTACGTCATCTGCTTCACGAAAAATGGGACATATCTTTTTAAATTTAATTTTAAACACAAGCAGAAATAGAAAACCGAAACTTCGGCTCCGTCCGGCAACATTGGCCTCGGACTGCCAAAACATGGCTGTCACGTGGTATGAGATATCACATGATCCTTTACGCAACGATGGGCGGGATTGGGGCGGGCATGTGCCAGGCACAAGTGTCATCTGCACTGCCCTTTTCACCACGTTTTGGTGTCTACGACATTCGACGACGTTTGCACAACTGCGGCATAAGTCAGCGCATGTTGTGTCCATAGTGTGAATGGAGCTTTGAATGACAATAGTCACAAACGGCGAGACGGCAGCAGCGGTAGCAGCGAGGCCACAGCGAAGCAGCCGGACGGCTCCCAAGAAGTGCACTGCGGAGGCGCATTACACCAATCACGTGGACACCGCTGAGCACCGAGAGGAAATGTTGCTGGTGTCACCTGCTATGTTTGCCCGGAGAAGTAAAAACAAGCAAAAGGTGATGACCTTTAGCTCAATATTGGCTTTGCCCATGCCGCAGCCTTGACTGCGCTGTTGGTTGCGTCTCAATTCGCCCGCTCGAGTCAGCCGATTTCTGCAACATGGTGAGTTGCAAAGCTTGCCAGACCGTTTAAGAAACATTTAGACAGAACTTCGTCGTAGTATTTGACATATGGTCTTCCTAGGTGATACTGAAGAGGACTGTGTTGTTTTTTCAAAAACAAAAATGAAGCAGAGTTGCCCTTTAAAGGGATACTGCAACAAAATTTTAGTGCCTATTTTATTGTCTAAATGCCACACTACGGAGACACCAACTTTTTGCAAAAAAAAGACACCAAAACATTAGTTAAAAGGAATAAACCAAATGTTGTTACGTCACTCTGCACTTAAAAGCAGCGCCACTCCACGGAAGTATGATGGTAAGCTGCGTGAGCGCGAGCCCTGTCAAACCGAATTTTCCTTCTCTCCCGGCCTATTCAACTCTTGCGGGGAGCAGGCAACGAAAAACTGCCAAATTGTAACGTGTTGACGAAGCCAAGTGGCGAAGCTCATAACCACGCCAGCCCCCAAGCAGCTTTGCATGTGCTGGGCCAGTTGACATCACATCTCCCAGGATGCATTGCGCTCTCTGATGGCTGATCTTCAAGCACTCCCTGGAATCGGTCCTTTGGAACGAAAAATATAGCCATCCGGTCCAAGTGCAAATCAGCGATTGTCATTAGCAGGTAGAGTTGATAATCTGTAACTTATTTCCGAACGTAACAAGTACATTTTAAGTATCGATTCAGTATCCCTTTAACTGGGGAGTGTGTCTAATGTCGCGCGACACTTCTTTTGAACGGAAGTGCGCCGTAAAATGCGTGGCAATTTTTGGCAAAGGTTATAGGTCTTCCCATCTATCGAACATGAAACCAAACCCGTCTAGGTTTATTTGCGTTCGCTGGCTGGCGAAATAATTTAATAGCTTTAGTAGAAAATATCTCTTCTTGTTTTCGTTCATGATCTGGGATGCTCTGAAGTGGTGAAAAGCATAGACAAGACGCGTAAATCGCGGCGTAATGACAATGACTCGGACACGAGTATGTGCTCTGTGACAGGGAAACCTCGAGTATATTCACAAGCCAAGCCTGGAAATATAGTTTGCTTCAGACCTACTTACAAATATACCCCTATTCACAATCTACCATGCAAAATTGAATGTCATATTAAAAAGAAATAAGCACATTCAAATTTTTAGCTCAAAAACAATTTTCAATATATTTTCTGTAAAAAAAAAAAGAAAAAAAAAAAGAAAAAGAATTTTTTAAGTTGCGGTTGCACACCCATAAATAACTCCACACTTAAAGGGCAACTACGGTTAGTATATTTGAATTTGGGATTATGACAGTTTTCAGCTAAAGCAGTGTCTTTAAATTACAAGTATATATATATATTTTTTTTTATATATTGTGTGTAGTTTTATGAATATCATGGCCCAAAGTTTGGTTTTGTGCGTCGACACAAAACCTAAATTATCTGCTAGAGGGATGGCAACACTGATCAACAGCTGTATGGCTGCGATGTGATGTCACAAGAGTGCTGCGGTAAGCAGCACAACCAATCAACCGCAGTCCCACCCCAATGCGACGTCACAAGAGTGCTGCACCAGTGTTACTTGACTAAAAGCTAACCCACTTGCTGCCCGCTAAAGACCGGTGGCATCTTTAAAATCGGTTTTAGTGGAGTATACGGCTTCACTTTGACGTAATATTTTGGCTGTTATATTTTGTGCCACTAAAGCGATACCAGTCATTTATTTTACTTCATTTTCGACTGCAGCTGCCATTTAAAGGGACATGTAAAAGAACTTGCTGTTGGGCTAGTTGGTGTTGACTGTATTGAACCAACTTCCTTTCCCAATACAGTTGCGAGTAACGCCCGTGTTTGTCTTCTATCTTGTGTATGTCTTTTTACCGCTTTTAACCATGGTTCAATAAAGGGATATGTGCCAGGAAAAAACTTTTTTAAATATATTTGCAATCACTGAACAAAATTTTCACAGTTTATAGTGCTTGATCTACTTTTCCTAATCTGGTGTTAGTTTTAATATAGCTTGTTTTTTATGTTTTGAATGGAATGCACATGCAAACAAAAAAACATGTTTTGTGTGCCCATGGGACATGGCAACACATTTTAAAAAAAACCTAATAAAATAGGCTAATTTGCACTCTTTAAAGCACTGAATGCAATGAACAACAAAAAGAATGTGTACGAGAACTTTTTTTATTTTCGAATAAATGAAAAACACAAAAACACCACTTTCAAAAAGCTAACAATGTTTTTTAAAGCTTTTATAAATTAAAAAAAAAAAAAAATTCTAATTAATCCTTGATAGTTGCATTCTACATATCCTCAAGCTTATGCATGCCAAACTTGGTTCTCATAGGACAATATTAAGAACAAACATTCATATGCTCTAACTGTGAAGATGCCCAAAATTGCAAAAAGAGAAAAAGCTATTTGAATTTTACTCGAGATGTGTAAGCGACACTCCTTTGCGCTGGGAAAAAGAAATGTTGTTATTCTTTTTTGTAAGAAATTGAAGCTACAAAATATTGCGATGGAGAGGAGATGGCTAGGCCTACTTTTCAAAATAATTCTGATCGCAGGCCATGCCACAATTTGAAGAGCCGATCAAACAAACATGGCTCACATTTATGCCTCTCTGGGTCGATGTAGAGTGGAGGGATCAACGTCACAAGCACACTTCCCTGGTTAGTTTCGGTTTTGAAGCCATGTACAAGGATGTACAAGGACACAGCAACCCAGCCGTGATGATGTCGCCTAATGTACCACTATTCATGTAGGTTTGCACTTGGTGCCTAATCATCACTTCGGGCCAAACGTCGTTTTCATTGCATATCGGATATCGCGCTGACATCGCACATCTGCAGTTGCTCCACGTGGCCAACATCTACAGCGCACCCCTCATGGGCACGATGACGTCAAAAGACCTTCAAGAATCAGCGCCACCACTGCCTATTGGGGAAAAGGAGCGACCGTGACGCCCCAAGCGGTTCACTTTAGAACTACACGGATGGGGACAACAAATACAATGACTCAGCGCTCGGCCGACATAATCGAAAGCGGCGTCAGCGTTCAGCTGGAGTTCACATTCTTCGGCGAGGGGGAGGAGGGGCTCTTTTGTTTCCACTTTGGCCTGCATGAACAATGCAGCATGCGCGGTCC